CCCCCCCCCCCCCCCCCCCCCCCCCCGGGCGCGAGCACACCCTAGATTAACGATCCATCCTCTCAAACACGCGTGGTGTCATGGTCTAAGAACTATTTAAGGCATGCCAAACATGAGTACCCACCCACCCCCCCGACCCACCAACGGGGGGCACACACACAAAAACAAAACTTGCTTGCCTTGTGTTCTACGCAGAACTTCCCCTTCTCCCCCGGCATCCCGAACGACGGCCTCCGGTAACACCGGCTCTTGGCGCAGCACGAGCGCTTCTGGCTCACCATGCCGTCCTTCTTATGCCCGGCGCAGTACTTGGGCAAGAACTTTTCGTCCTCGTTGGGAGACGTCCCGGAGACGGACCCCGGGAGGTAGCCGTAGACCGGCTGGATCGTGCACCCCGGCTGTGGGAAGAAGAGAGACGGCGGCGGCGGTGGGGCGGGGGGCGGGGGGAGGGGGGGGCGTACTCTTATGTTTTGCATGCCTTAACGGTTAGACCATTGGACCGCCAAGAACATAACGAACCGGAAGCAACAAAACCGAGATGCCGCGACACCGAAAACGTGACGAGGTGTTGGCGTGTATATATATATATTCTCCCATCATTGGACTCTGTCGTCTGCCCCTCTGGCCCCTATCCTCTACTTCTACCAGCTAGACGACCCAACCGGGGTCACATAGGTAGGGGGGGGTTGGACCCCTCCTGCGGTTCCTGCCTGAGATATTTTTATCGCGAGAAGGGTACAGCAATCCCTTCCCTCGCGACTTATGAAGTCGATCAAGTTTACTAACAACGAGCTGTGCAGCGCGTCGCTTCCAACGGAGACCAGGGTATAATTAGCGAGAAAAATTTCTTTCTGTCGGGACTCGAACCCATGACCTGGCCCTTAGCAGGCTGCGAGGCTACCCACTAGACCACCGGGGCGACCGGTGGTTTATATATTCCACGCTGGATATTACAGGGAAAAACGGCTAGAGCCGGCTGCCGAAAGGACGCCCCGAAGGCAGGCACATCTACCAACAGCATCAGCACAAGCACCCGCTCATGATCATGACCGTTATGGCGTGTACATGTACGGCCCAAAGATAGAGGAAGCGAGAGAAACAATTGAGAAAGAAACGGCACATAGAAACAGGCACACAAGGGGGGAGATAATTCAGACAAAAAAAGTGACCCGCACAAAGAAAGCAGGCACACAATGGGGGGGGGCGGGAGACACACACGATACCGAGACAAACACTTCCGATACAAGTATTTTTCTGTCGCCCAGAACATTAACCCTGCATACAGGTGTTTGCCATCGGGTTTCGGTTTTCGTCGCTTGGCAACGACGTTGTAAAACAAGCCAATTCACCTCGTGAACTCGGCAACAAGGTTACCGTTTATTTTTTTACCTCGTTTTTTTTTTTTTGCGGTAGCCACAATGGTGGTCGAGTAGTTCATGTTGTGCGGGGTGGAGAACCCTCACTCCGCGCGAGGGGGATNATCTACGCAAGGAAGCAAGCACAAGATGCCGAAAACCCTTAGCAGGATGCAGCGCACCCTTCATGCGACTCGCCGAATATCTCACGGCGCTTCGCGCTTGGTGATGTGAGAGCCTGGTCCGGTGAGAACCCGGCGTGCTCCNCTATGAGAATACAGAATACCTCGGAAAACACAGTGTGTGTGGGCCGAAAACACCGGCGCCGTACACCGGCGACCGGTACGCACTAGACAGGGACCACCTCTGCTGTCACTCACCTCAGCGCAGCGTCGGTGAGTGACGTTGACCATCCTCTCCGTGCGGTGCCCACCGCAAGCCAGTGGGATCCTATCGCTGTCGTTCCCGTACAGCGGCTGCCTCATGCACCCCTGCTCGGAGCACCTCCGTTTCCGGTTGACGAGCGTCATCCCGGCCAACTGGGGACGAAGGGAGAGGGTGAGAGAGAGAGAGAGAGAGAGGGGGGGAGAGAGACAGAGTCAGAGACAGAGAGAGTTTCGAGCGATGCGGCGGTGAGAGAGGACCTCCTTCGCGCGATTAATAAGTTGTCGAGGAAATATAAGCAGGAAGGGGTACGCAGACCCTATTTCCCTAACCCTAACCCCAACCCAACTTCCCCAATGGAATGCTTCATGCAACGTGCTGACTAAATAGAAAAACTGTGCGAAGGTTACCCGTGAGAGACTAACGGCGGGGATAAGGGGGCGAAGTCGGTGATGGTTGACAAGGCGGAACGGCAAGCACACGGAGAGAGACCAAAAACAGTCTCCTGTGAGACTGAAGCCTCCGACGTGGAAACCCACTGTACCAATCGGCCACAAGAACTCACGCTTACAAACACACGAGCAGCTTCTCCCCCAAAACACAGAAACATCCCGCAAGCTTAGAAACACACGTGCGGTTTGACCCCGCCCCCCCCAAAAAAAAATCAGCAGGTATCCGCTGTACCCCGTCCGTGTCGGCGTACCTTGTGGGTTCCGCAGTACGAAGCCTTGAGGTCCCCCACGTCCCCGAAGCTGGGTCTCTTCTTGCACCCGTCCACCTTGCACGGCATCACGCGCCACACGTCGCCGGCCCACGCCGACGAGGGTACGCCGCCGGCGGTGGTAGAAACCCTACCGATCCCGCCACCGCCCGTGGGGGACGACGGCTCCGGTGCCGCCGTGGTAGCCCCTCCATCGTTGGAGTCTGACCCGCCCGCGTCCATGAAACCGCCGTCATCGCTGAGATCCCCGCCGCCGCCGCCGCCGTCACGCTGTGGCGTGGAAGGAGAGTACGGCGGCGCCGCGCGCTTCCTCTTGGCGGCACCGCCGCTTCCGGCAGCCGCAGCAGCAGCAGCAGCAGCAGCGGCCCCCTGCAACCGGCCGTTACTACTGCTCTTGCCGTTGGTGTGGTGGTTTCGAGAGCCGGGGTTAGCCGCGGCGGCGGAGGCGGCGGCGGCGGCGGCGGTCTCGCGAAGGCTGGCCGCCGTCGCGGAGCCGGCTGCCGTTGCTCCTCCGCCGAGCTGCTTGGGCGGCGCTCTGCCAAAGGGCGTTTTTTCGTCATCGCCGTTACCGCGCGTCGTCAGGTCCGGTGGGGAGGAGCAGACACAACGAGGGCAAGGGATGGTCGGGTGTTGACGCCGACGGCGAGACGCGGACTGGACTTCTTTTAGATCGTACCGTAAGGTTGCGAGTCGGCTAGAGCACAGGGGTGCGAGCGATTTTCAAAGCGTACTTTCTCCGTAACCAGGAGATTACCACTGTCGAAAATGACGGTTTTGGAAACATCTCATCGAGAGCTTTCCTGAGAAGTATCAGCTGGCGCTCGCACCCTTCTGGTTGCGGAGAAATTGCGCTTTGAAAATCGATCGCACGCTGTGCGCTGACTCGCAGCATTGATGTATGTGGCACAAAATAACACCCCCATACAAGATGGAATGTAACACACACTACAATACCACACCAGGTTGAAATACTTGTACCGGCCGAACTTCTCTCAGTTCACCTAATAGGGCGACATAAGACATCACACATACGCTCCATACGACGGCAGTACACCGGGTGACAATTCTTGTGTGCATAGAAGCAACAATGTTGTCACCAGGGTAAGCTTATCTTGTGCCTAATGAGGCATGCGTTGTACCGTGGGTGGCAGAAACTTTGCCGCATCGATCATGTTTACCGAGTCGCCTGCGAAAGCCAGGGAGCTCCTGATGGTGTCTGTCCGCCCGGGAATCGGTACGAAACACAGGATTTCTCTGAACACATCTCGGGAACTCTACTTTGGTTGTCCCGGTTTCCCCCCCACGTACACAGAATTTTTCGTGCTGCTCCTGCTGTACGGAGGAGCTCGTGTCTGGGGGGTCAAGTCCTTCCAGGTACTGCCGCGTCCACGCGCTTCCGTCTAGGTGCGTCATCATACAGTTCAACGAGCAACTCCAGGATATAGGCGGGCACTGCCGCTCGTGTCTGCAATCCACAACCTCGTGTGTACGCACCACCCGCTCACCCGAAACTCTTGAGAAGGAACAACTGCAGCTCGCGGATCTGCTCTTCCTTCTTGCGTAGAGAAATGAGCTCTTGGACGAGAAGGGCCTATACACGTCAAGACCAACCACGGGGGCGCGGGGCTACGGGGATCGGCTTCTTGTGTGTCGGGGTGGGTGGGCGTCGGTCGGGACGGCCGCACCCACCAGCGTTAGCAACAACATGAGAGCAGCAACAACAACGAGGATTACGCCAACACCAGCAACAACATCAACGATGCTGCACCCACCAGCATCAGCCTCTTAGCATCAACAACAACAATGACACCGCACCCACCAGCGTTAGCAACATGAGCAGCAACAACAAAGTGGAGTACGCCAACATCAGCAACAACATCGACGATGCTGCACCCACCAGCATCAGCAACTTAGCATGAACAAGCAAACAGCAACATGCACAGCGACAACCAGCAAAATAACGATGACACCGCAGCCACCAACATCAGCAGCAACATGAACAACAACATGCACAGCCAATCACAGCAACCAACCACACATCACCACCAACATCAACATCAACAACAAGAACCAGCCCCCCGCGCCCGCAGGCAACGACGTGAGCAGCAGCAACAGCAAACCCAAACCCAGCAATGACATTTACGATACAATCAACAGCACCCCCACCGCCACCGCATCAACACTACCAAGCATAGTTCGTACAGCCGCTTCTGAATAGTCTCGCACAGTGTTGTTGTTGACGACACTGGAACCCCCGCCCCCGCCCCCGCCCCCCCCGCCCCCCCGGGACCCCCCGCCGTTTCCTTAGCAGGCCTCTCACCTGCTCGGTGATGCCGTGGTAGTTGCGGGTGCCGTCTAGAGCGCCTTCCACGTTTGCGATCTTCTTTGTCACCTACAGCAGTTACAGCAGCGGATAGCGAGGCCGGCCCCACACATGACAAGAATGTTGTTGTTACTGTTGTTGTTGTTGTTGTTGTTGTTGTTGTTGTTGCCTTCGCTTTAAAAACCGTTCCGTTCTCTCTGCTCTCTGCCCAGATCTTTGTAGACTACACTGTAGTCCTTGGGAAAAATTACTCCCACGTTGCGACAACAGCAGGAAGGAGCAGTGTTGCACGGAATTTCATGCATGCAGCACTCATGGTGGTCCCGATTTTAAGGGGTACGGTGGCACTTGTGGATGTTGACGCTGGCTCGCGATGTCCGCTGAACACGAACATTGCAGGAAACATGCGGATTACCTGCCAAATCCAGCGGTGTCGGCACCTCCCCCAACTACAGCAGCAGTTCTCCATTATGCAGCAGCTGTATGTTACACCCATCTGTAGACTAATGCAACAAGCAGGCCTTTCGGCGCTGTCGGTACGCACTGGGAACGCACAAAATTTTCCACAGCGTTTCCCAGGTCTAGCATCGTGGATAGTATCTCTCGACCCTTGATGCTCCGAGCGGGCTCCCTATTTACTGCTGTACCTACTGCTGTAGACTAGGCCATAACCCTAGACTACGAAGCGGCGTGACTAAATCCAACAAGTTGCGTACAATACCCTGCATAGTCTGTTGTTCACCTGATCCAATTCATAGTGCTGCGGGAGAGCAATCGGCAGTCCCACCTCAACCATGGTCGCCCCTACTACTCCTTCCGCCTGTCCATTGCCGGCGAAGCTGGGCGTTGCCCCCTCCATACATAGGTGTACCACTAGCGTGGTGTGGTCGCCATTCGGATGGAGCGGATGTGTGGCCCATGATTCACGGTGCCCCTGCTAACAGGGTACCCGCAGTCCCCGAGATCCTTCTTGTCTGGTGTGCCTCTCCCCGCACCACCCACCCCCGGCACTGCAGTGGTCGAGAGGAACAGCATGAAGAGAAAATACAGAAGAAGGCATTGATGAAACAGGAGAGGTAAACGCTTCAATTTCTGTCGAGAGAGCGGAGGAAGCACAGAGGAGGACTCGATGGCCCAGCAAGCCGCGACACCGTCTTCGTCAGACGACGAGGAGGAGGAAGAAGTGGCATGTTTCGAGCGTGACACGGAGAGCTTCATGCTGCGGAGGCGGCGGTTCACGTTCCCGGGCCTCCCACCAGGTGCCAGCTTCGGAGAGCAACACACAGAGTGCGCTGCACACGACCTCTTCCTCTTTTGTTGATGGATAGCGTAGAGCCCCTGCCTTCAAGTACTGCTGCTGCAGCGGGGCGGTGTACTCCGGAGTATGGATCCGGCGGGATGCAACATGATGCATCCAGCAGGGTCAACGTCAACATGACCGTCTCGGATCTGGTTCGCCGCATATTTGGAGCACCACCACTGGTTGAATAAGGCATACACCAAAGAGTGCCGTCGCTCCACGCAAACTCATATCGGAGTTTGTGCACAAGTTCACCGGCGCCGGCGCGGAATGTCGTAGGCTCTTCACGTCGGCTACGCTTTGCGCGGACACGTTTGTTGGTGTGCGAAGTCCCTACGCACATTGCCGCACACCGTAATTTATTTGCGAGCGGTGTATGTTGAGCGAAGCTGCTTGGTGGGGCGTCGGGTACAGCGACTCTGAAGAAGCTGTCGCTGATCGTGGACGAAAGCTTGCGCCGCTAAAACATGCTCCTTGCCGATCAACCCGAACATGTAGTATAGCGTTCAACTTTTTCTTCGCAAGTCTTTAGGGTGTCTCCACCGAGGTTGATGTTTCCTTCTCCCCGACATTACGCCCTACTTCGCTTCTCCCTCCCTCACTCCCTCCCTCACTCCCCCCCTTCTCACTTCCCCCCTCCCTCCCTCCCTC